TCGTTTTGCATTTTGTGGTGGAGGTGAGGAAAGGATTGGTAATTATTTGGTTGTGTTTATGTTGGATATTTTTCTGGGAAAGCAGGTTCCGGTGAGTCCTCGTGGACTGAGGATTGAGGGTTCGATGATTTGCGTTGATTGTGACGAAAGCGTTTCGTGTCGTTTTGTATTTTGTGGAGGCGAGGAAATGATTGTTGATTATTTGGTTGTGTTTATGTTGGATATTTTTCTGGGAAGACTGACGAGGTATAATTGTCTTCGAGTCATTTGGAAGTTTTGGAAGTGATTTGAAGAAGTCATTCTAGAAGTTTTGGGGTATCGTGTGGGAATGTCTTTTGGGATGGTTGATGTTTCTTCTGGGATGTTAGGATGATAGTGGCACTGGGAAGTGGGATTTAGGGGAACTGGACTGTAAATCAACCGACGTGGTAATAAAAGTGACTGTAAGTCAATTGACGTGTTAATGAATACGGTTTCTGGGGTTTTATGTGGAAATTTCGGAGTCAATCTGGGTTCCACTGTTCTTTTGTTATATAAATATGAATTTAATGAATGATTGAATTGGATTAATTTGCTTTTGGAAAGAGGAAGGTTGTGGATGACGAGGAAAGTAAATTTACGCGTGATTTGTTCGAATTCTGGTCGAAATTCAAGAACGAAATGGAAAATATGAGCCAGCAGAGCGGAACTGCGCGCAAAACCGGAGTACGAGATGATGAAGAGCAACGGATCGAGCTGCGTTCGAAAACGGGGACTCGGATAAAAGGATTTATTCCATTTGCGAACAGGAAGCCAGTTAGGAAGTAATGGAACTGTGCGTTGACTCTAGGTGGGTGTGAGGGGTGGCGTCGAGGAAATGGTAAATGATGTGGTTAGAGGGACATTCTTGTGTTTCCGTTCGCCGAACGGGGAACTACGGTTCTTATTGTCGGACTCATCCGATGATGCAACGGTCGTGAGACATCCTTTCTTTTTCCTCGAATTTCCCGTTATAAATAGTTTATTCAGAGAGCGAGTCCGATATATTTAATTTAACGTATTGATAATGTAAGTTTTAAAGTAATGTTTTATAATATATTTTTGAAATATTCATACATTTTAATATGTGTCTAGTTACTCTGGATTATTGAATTTAGTTTTTAGTTATTGAATATTTATTTTTCTATTTAGTTATTTAATATTTAGGTTTTAGAGTAATATTTTATAATGTATTTTTGAAATATTCGTACATTTTAATATGCTTCTAGCTACTCTGGATTATTGAATATTGATAATAAAAATTATGGGTCGAAAGTGACCCGGTGTCGGCTCTCCGACGCTTACATCACGAATTCCGGTGTTCCACGTTTGTTCCTCGATCAACGAAGGATTCCATTTCATCCAGGGATTAACTAAATACCGAGGAGCTAAGCCTGGATCAGGCCGGATGGCAAATTTTACATGTGCGCGGAACTATTAAGCGAACAGGGGATAATATTCGGGGCATCAACGCGTAATCTCGTCTCGCGAGATGCTTAAATAAAACCAGGGCACGAGTAGAGTCGATGTTACGTGAAACACGCAACGTTACATCGCGAAATGTAATAAACACACGTCGACGATGCAACAATGAATCGTCTCGTCGCAAATGGTCGACGATGAACGCACTTAAGAGATTCGTCAATTAAATTCTGAATATTCACTTTCTACATTGAAACATATAACAAATAATCAACAGAACTCAATAGAATAAAGGTGAATAATGAACTGACGTTAAACTCATGCAAGATTAAAAATGACTAAACATATTAACACCTTGTTTAACACATAAATATCACTCAATTCCTTTCAACTCAAATGACTTCTTTTGGAATCAATTATTATACTATGTAGCAAACATATGTATAGAATATACTTACAACTTTCACCTTTTTCAGTTAATTATTAATGATAAACTGTTATACCAATCAGACTTGAGAAATATATCATAAGGCAAGAGATTAAATTGAATTTTCCTGGTCACCGGTGACCGTCAATACAAACGATCAAGTGAACGACAGGATTAAAATTAAATCTGACCTTAATGGCGCCGGTCACGGGTGCCCGTCAAGGCCAGGATCGAGTTAACGAGGATAAGAGTGAAATTGAATGTTGATCGCGCCGGTCGCCGGTGACCGTCAACGCAGAAGATCAAGTCAAAGAGGACAAGATTAAAATTGAATTTTGATACTGCCGGTCACCGGTGACCGTCGATGTATAAACGAACAAGTTAACAAGGAGACTTACCACACCGCCGCCAGCGTTGTGCAGCAGAAGGCTCTTTCCGGGCGTCAGGTTGGCCAGCTTGAAGAGCAAAATGTAAGCGACGGTATAATTCATGGTGATAGCGGCCGCGTCGAGGTAGCTCATGCCGGGCGGCAACGCGAAAACGGACGTGGCCGGCACGGCGACGAGCTCTGCCCACGCCTTGTGATCGGGGAACGCGACCACTCGATCGCCCACCTGAAATGCAAACAACCGAACGTCCCTCGTCAGTTAATTGGAAAATTATAATTACGCCTCGAACGGCCCGATACTCTCGACGGAACGTTCATTCTTGTTGATCACTTCATTTTTCTGCAGAATTACATTTCATTTAAAATTAACGAGCTCCGGTACAGTCGGGGCAAGTGGAACCTGAACGTTCGCGGAGAGTTCGAGCACTGCACTCTTCGATTTTCATTTTGTTCTTTCGTTGTTCGCCGTATCATTCGCAGGTTGAAACTATGTTGAAAGCCTTGAGTAAATGTTTGCTCTAAGGACAATTAACCCTTTGCACTCCAGAAGTTTTTCACCGGAAATACTCAATATTTTCTAATGAGATACAGACGACATTTTTTTATATACATTTTCTTCTATACAGAGTTTGATATTAAATATCAAAGTTTACAGTTTGCTGTTTCAAATCATTTGGTGACTTAGAGGCTCTGGAGTGCAAAGGGTTAAAAATGGAGATCTCCAGTAAATGAATTATACTTGGATGATTCATTTCATCTGCAATTTTGTTAGATCATCTAATTCTTCGTAGCTTGAAACTAACTGGTATCCAAGTGAAAACTACCCTTAACCCTTAACTCCACATAGTTTTGTGATGTCAGCAACAACCAGTTTTGATAGTCCTACTGAAAATTAACAGTTGCTGTTCAAGTAATTAAATCATTTGTCTGCGTCTTAGTTTTCCAAATATGTACATTTCGTCTCGTCCAAATGACATTCGTCCGCGAAGGGTTAAAGATTAAACGAAAACTTCCAGCGAACGAATTGCATCTGAAACCGATGATTCACTTTATCTACAGCTTTATTGCGCCAATTTAACTCCACCCTGTAGATTCACGTCCCACCCCTCGACAGGAGCGACATACATCGATACTATCTAGGAGAGCGTATGGAAGAAAGGGGTCCGCGACCTCGAACCAATTCCCCGTGTCAGAAATATCAAGGAAACCGACCCACCCCCGAGGACAAGTGTCGCGGGGGCACACACACGCTCAGCCCTCCGCCCTTGAATTTTTCACCCACTAATCTTTCCACGAGGGTGGAGTCTCACGGTACTTTTCCGAGGCGCGCGACGCCTCCAGGAAACGGACTCTCCTCGTCCTCCGGTCCATTTTCACGACTCGCGGGACTCTGCGAAGGTCGTGAAGGGCGCCGACCCGTTTTTAAGGGGTTGCCACAAGCTCAAAGGGAAAATTTCTCTCTCAGGACTCCGGTCGCCGGAAGAGCACTCACGGAAGTCGTGAACAAATTCTTTTCTTTACGCGACCCCGAGCGGCTTCAGTCGTTTGATACAGTGAACCCTTGTTTACTGATTATCTCTGGATAACGAAGAAATATTTACACGTTTACCTGCAGTAGACGTTAGGAACTTAGAATTTCATTCGTGCATGATTTACTGAAATACTTTGAATTTGAAATAATTTGATTACTTCGCTTTAGGAAGATTGTAGGTAAAATTGTAGATAGAGGAAATATAGTCAATTGAAATTGAATTGAGGGTTAATTGGAAATGGTGTAATCAAAGGAATTTTTGTTGACACTAGAACAACTGAGCAGTCGAATCATTTCCAAACTAAAAACTATAGTTAACTAAAAGTTGTTGTTTCTAACTAAAATTTAACTATAGTTAACTGGAAACTATAGCCACCAAAAGTTAACTATAGCTAACTAAAAACCCTTTGAACTCTGTAGGCTCCAATATTGCACCAGTTACAATATTAAACATTTCAATGAATCTCAAAGAAACTACCCTAAAATTATCCGATTTTCCACGCACTCAAATTTTGCACTAAGAAAAATAAAAGATCGAAGAAATATTACAGCATTTCCAATTTTCGCTAATACTATAAAAATTAGTTGCTAATAGATTATAAAACCTGGAGTAAGGGTTAAAGAAGCTTCCAAACCTCAAAACATCAAAATCATTCACGAATCCAAGTTCCCACAGCTAGTTACTCAGAAAACAAGAAAAGCAGATACTCATCTCCGTACATTATCCCTATCAAAGAGAGAAAAGGAAATCAGTATTTCCGTCGACCCAGCGTTATCTCGCGTTTTCAGATACACCCGAAGTGTGGCAACCCCTTAAGGGTCAGATATCCTGAGCAGCACGTGTAAACGACCGTGGGGGTTGGCAGCGCGCAGCGAGCCTCCCCGAGACGGAATATTCGAGGTTCCCTTTCCACGCGGCGACGGACGCACCCCGCCGCCTATCGGCGACCCCTGACCCCGCGCCAACCCCCGGATGTCTCGAGTTCTTAGCATTGTTGCGCCCGCACGTCTGAAACGGTCGTTCAATTCTCTTCTAGTCCGTCCGTTTATTTCTTCTTTTATGGGATTATCTCTCTCTCTCTCTCTCTCCCTCCCTCTCTATCTTTTCTACCCCCTCTCGGACGGGGGTAGTTCTGGAAACTGGGGTAGCGAGCGTCTTTCCGACGGGGAGAAGCGTTGACGAATCCGGGAACATTCTGCCTCGGACCATCGGCTTTTTTTCCCTGACTGCGCAATTTTATTCACCGGATAAGGAAGATATAACGCTTCGCAGATGTTCTGGACCAACCCCATTGTTTTTCTTCCGTTTTATATTATACTCCCGATAGATTCTCCTTTTACGTCTTCGTCGGGATGTACACTTTTATCGCTACTTTCCGGCTCGCTTCGCGGAGCTTTTAATTCCAAGCTACTAGAGGGAACTTTCTTAAACTCTTTATGGATTGTTTTCACCCTCTCGCCGAGCTTTTATCCGTTGGACACCGAACTTCCGATAAATCTTCCCGTTTGCAGGAGGTACGACGTTGTTAATGGACAGACGATGTAAACGTTTTGTATGGATTCTATAGGGAATCTTTGATTGGACTCGATTGGGAATAGAAATGAAATGGTATCAACCCCTTGTACCATCAGACTACTAAATATTATTCTTCTATTATCAATTATCACTGCAAAAAATGCGAACATACCTCTCATTCTAATGAACTAAATATTTTATTCCATCCAAACAGTTCCAATTTGTGAAGGAGATCACAGAACAAGGGGTTGAAACGTTAAAAAACCCTCAAATCCACAAAATCTACAGAAAACACGTCTGAACATCTCAAGCAACAAATTTTCATTATAAATTCACACACAGCGTCTCGTTCCATAGAGTTAACCCTTTGCACTCGGAAGTTTTTCACTAGAAATATTCGAATAGTTTCTGACGAAATAAAGACGATATTTTGTGAATCTGACTCGAAGAGAAATCACACTTCCATCGAGGAACAAAGCTATTGTTTTTCATTATTTCTCAAATTGACGCATTATACGGAGTATAATATTCAATATAAAATTTCATAGTTTTACCGTGTGAAATCAGGTGGTGAACGAGGCTCACCTCTCGAGTGCAAAGGGTTAAAATATATTACATAACAACGTAATATCCGAGTTTTTCCATGTATACGGATGGTTTCCGTGAAAAGTTTTCGAAGAGTCTGGAAAGCACGCCCTCGTTATCGTTCATCCATATTGAAAGTATACCGAGCCGAAGTATCGCAGTATACTCATAACACGGCGAATGAAGAGCGGAGACGAGACACGAGGAGGAGCCGTTTGACATGATAATGGATGCAAATCGCGGTGGAAGCGGCCTGTAGCAGGGACGGCCCTCATCTCCCTCGGCCAACGTTGTCTCTTCCTCGTCGATAGTTATTGCT